CGACCTTTTAGTCCTCCAATTCAAAATTCTGAGAAAAACGAAACAGTTAAAAAAAAACAGACCTTAGCAGCGCTAACCCTTCTTAGCGCCGCTAAGCCACCTTAGCTGCTCCCCTCTGACCCCGCTAAGCTTCCAAAACGCCGCTAAGGCCCTGGCAGCTTTGCACGACTTCACGGTTTGGGCTCGTTCGGGCTCGTCTGGTATCGGAATTCAATTCCGCTTTATGCATCGCTAACGAGACCCTCTCTCTAATGGTGTCAGCTTCCCCAAAAGATTCTCGAAAACCTGTTCTTCCGAGGTCTCCAAACTACACACCAAAAATGAAAAGAGAACAGAAAAAGACCGAAAAACAAACGGAAAAATAACGCAACACATAAATGAACGCAAAACACATAATAAATGACAAAAAGATCCTGAAACCACCTAAACGACTCAATACGGGGGAAAAAGAACGGTAAAATAATGACTAAAAACAACACAAAAATGGAACAAACAACTCCCCCACACTAAAACCTTTGTTCGTCCCGAACAAAAAGAAAAGAAAAGACACGAAAACAAGCAAACGAGCATGGATAATAGTTTCAAATAAGACATGTCTCAGATTAATTAACTTAGCCGAGGAAACTTCCAATGACCAATCATGCATACCTCAATTAAAACTCAAATGCAACGCTTGAAAAGACAAACTCTCAAGCACAAAAGTAAAATATGTATATGCCTCACACTCGGTTCCTTATATGAATATGAAATGGGTTCGCTCAAATTGGTCGATCATCATGCATCAACATAAGCTTGCTTATCATCTATTCATACTCTAAAACAATCGAAGGTCATGAATTGTAAATCAAAAGGACTTTCGGGTCGCAGTGTAGGCATCAGAGAAGGAAAAAAAATATAAGAATAGAATGGCTCAAATAAACAATCACATCTTCGAGCATATAAACTACTCGAATATCCCACCACCTATCCAAAATCAGCACAACATCAATCATTCCCATCAGACCTCCATGCAACAAATACATATGCTCAAGTTGAATTGCACTTCAAGTACTCGAGTTTTCTTTCTTTTATTCTTCTTTTTTTTCTTTTTTTCTTTTTTTTTTAAGGGGGTTTGCTTTTTTCCTAACAAAACCGAGACGTAAGGACAACATTCTCTATGTTTAAACATTGGAGGTCATCCAAGTTTCCTAGAGTAGTTTCCCAATACTCATTACTCGTGAAAAATTCCACAAGTAAGCGGAGTAGAATCCTTTCCGTCCGTCTTGTGAGTCCCTATTTTTTTATTTTTTTTATTTTTATTTATTTTTATTTTTTATTTTTTTTAAGTACCAAAAATGCAGCTCAAGTAACTTATACCATTTCTCCAACACAAAACAGAAGCTCCATCATCAAAATAACTAAACTGTCAAGTCCCAAGAAATTCA